CGCGGGGAGGCTCGCGCCGGGACCTTTCTGCGAAAGCCCGTGTGGCAGCGCGGTTCTGCCTTGAGGCCTGGCCCAGGGAAGCAAAGTGAAAGAACAGAGGCCTCCTTTACCTCGCGCCCGCCCCCAGTGGACGCCGGCTCCGCTGGACCCGCGGCTCCTGCCCTCCCGGGGCCCAGGCCGGCGGCCCGCGGCACAGCAGCAGAGCTGGGCTTTCCCTCGCCCGGCCGCTGCGCCCCGGCCGGCCCGCGAGGCCCCGCCAGGGAAGCAGGCGAGCCTGTGCCGCGCTTCCGCACTGGCGCCCGCAGCCCGCGCCCCCGCCCCTTCCTCCCACCCCGGGCCCGGCTCCCCGCGTCCCCATGGCGGCTCTGACAGCGACTCGCGGCTTTCCAGCCCGCACCAGGGCGTGGCCCAGCCCCAGCTGACTCCCGGCGCCCCCTCCCTTGGGAAACCGCGCGGAGTCCGCGGAGCTGCTCGCTGAAGTGTGAGAAACGTCGGACTAAAGGACGAGCGGAGGACGGCCAGGAGTACCACTTCCTTTCCTGCCCCTCAGGACTCTCCACACCAATCAACGCTGAACGCCCCTGCCTCCGCGGGCCCGCGCCATCGAGCCACGAGCCCCTCATCCACCCTGCGCGGGGACCCACCCGTGTCCGGCTTTGCAGTGTCAGCCGGCAACCTTCTGCTCGGCGGTGGCGGAGCCGCCGCGCAGCCCTGGCAGGACGCGCACCCAAGGGATGAGTGGGCAGCGTCGTCACGGGTCTGGCCTGGAGGCAGGATTGGTGGGCTCCAGGGGTAGTTTCCTGTGAGACACCGTTCATCTTTGTCTCTTTTGTTCTGTATTAATAAAAACATGGGGCAAGAATAGCACCTTCTCTGAGACAAGTCCAACAACGCCAGGATTTTAAAGGGGTGAGGGGGGGGGGCCTGCAGGGTGTTGAGGAGTGACGGACAGATTACAATGGCGGGGCGCTTAGAGGTTTCTGTCTGGGGGTGCGGGGTTCCGGTACAATTTTAAAGAATACTTAAGTCTTTGAAAAAGAAGATATTCACATCGCACACACACACACCCGAACCAAGCAGCGGGATTTGGTTTTTATGCATGCCCCCATTGCCTTAGAAAATGTTAGCTGTATTTCAGACTTCGACATTTTTGGTATCAAACACTTCTTGCTATGTGGTGTCTGTGAAAGTGAAATTATTCAGGTGGAATCCCCCTGATCACAGCTTACTTTGGGAGTAGGAAAGGTAAGTTCAACCTCTGCATCCATTGAACTACTGGAAAAGGAACCAACACACAGCTGTACCTTTAGAACTTTGGGGCCAGCTAAATCACTCTTCTTAACATTTTTTTGGCCTTAGACTAAAAGAAACATAAACACCTGGAAGTTTAAAATATAAAGAGTTGGCTTAAAAAGTAGTATAGGAAATATGACAAACACACAGAAATATCAATCTTCCCCTCCCGGATGGAAGTGTCCCAGTCACTTCTGCACTGCTGACAACTGGAGGTCTGCTGAGACCTTAAACTAAAATAGTGAAGTTTTCTCCCAAAAGAGGGCCAGAGCAACATTTATGATTAAGATATGTTTGCTTTCATCACTATAGATAACATTTTGAGTCCACTATGTTGGCTATAGAATATGCCATGCCTTTATTTTTAATTAAAGTATGTAATTATGGGGTTATTTCAGTAATTTTAGATTTGATATTGGCAAAGTGATATTCATAACTTGAGTAATTACATGCAACTGCCAAATGAATGCCTATTTAAATGCTAGCACTGTATTTTAATTCTTTGGAGGAGGAGAAAAAGAGATTTCACATCAAGATGAAACTCAGATGATTTTTCTTTAAAAAATGAAGTCCTACCCGGGAATTCCACTCCTAGAAATTTACTCAAAGAATACAACTTCTCAGATTCAAAAAGACATATGCACCCCTGTTTATTGCAGCACTATTTACAATAGCCAAGATATGGAAGCAACCTAAGTGTCCATCAGTAAATGAATGGATAAAGAAGATGTGGTACATATAGGCAATGGAATACTATTCAGCCATAAGAAAGAAACAAATCCTACAATTTGTGACAACATGGACGGAGCTAGAGGGTATTATGCCCAGTGAAATCAGTCAGGCAGAGAAAGATAAATACCAAATGATTTCCCTCATTTGTGGAGTATAACAACGAAGCAAAACTGAAGAAACAAAGTAGCAGCAGACTCACAGAATCCAAGAAGGGACTAGTGGTTACCAAGGGGGAGGGGGAGGGGAGGATGAGTGGGGAGGGAGGGAGAAGGGGATTGTGGGGTATCATGATTGGTATCACGGGGAAGACAGTGCAGCTCAGAAAGACAAATAGGAACTCTGTGGCATCTTACTACACTGATGAACAGTGACTGCAATGGGATATGGGGGGGGAGGGACTCGATAATAAGGGTGAATGTAGTAAGCACATTGTTTTTCTTGTGAAACCTTCATAAGAGTGTATATCAATGATACCCTAAAAAAAAGAGTCCTAGCTCTGACATCAGGGAAAAAAAAGTGAAGTCCTTTATTACTTAAGTGATGTTTTAGATGTTCTCACCTCTTTAACCAAGGTTACCCTAAGTCCCTTTTCTTTGCTCCCAAAGCATTTACAGATCATAGAGCACTTACAGCCCTTAGAATGGGCAACCTGCAGTGTATGCTTGTTGAATGAATTAATACTTTTTTTACATATCTATCTCCTACTAGATTTTATATCCTAGGAGACAAGCATATTCGGTTATTTTCAAAGTGTCTGGCACACATTGATTTTTAATATGTGTTTGGTTTGAAAGAGGACTATATATATATATATATACTCGATTCAGCTTCAACAGTTTTTTAAAATGTGGACGTTAATGTCTAAGTAGCACATACAAAGCTTTAACTTTTAAAATTCAGCTAAGAGCTGAGAAAAAATACATGTGTTAAAATTAGCAAGATTTCCTTTAGATATGTGTAGAACATATTCCCATAATAATAGGATTTCTTCTGAATTCCAAATCAGATTTTTAAAGAGAAAAAACTGGATTTTTAAACTGGCTTTATACTGTTGTCTTTTTAAGTTTCATTTTCATAAATAGGAGATTTAAATACAAAAACGGTTTTGAAGTTAAATTTGATTAGCATTTTACAAAAGGAGCCAAAGGGTTCTAAACAAATCTTTAAGGGAAATAGTTTTACATGTTGTTCAGATAGTATGTTTCATTCTCAATCAGATGTATATAATGTGTCAAATACAGTGTATATTTAAAGTCAGCAGGTACTTGAAGAACAATAATGTTAAATAACACTTTTAAAAAATTGAAATATCTCTGAATAGTTTCCCTTCTCACTGCTTAATTGTTAAAGGTGCATGTATGATCATGAGGCATTCAACTAACTATAAAACAGGATGGCATTTTATTTTAAAGTAAGTAAGTTGGAAAGTGGGTCAGAAAGTATAGATTAGTTTTCTTGACAGTAAAAGTAACTGTTGCCATATTTTCTATATTGCAATTCATTTATATGCATATTGTCATATGTTACATATGTTACATTTCTCCATTCAATTTTAAATACTTTAAAAGGAAAGCTGGAGTAAAGAGTAAAGATCTAGCTTCTTTAATATGTCCACTTTTTGATAATAGAGTACGAGTCCTATATTGTGTTTTATGAGGACCAATACAGTTTAATCCATAGAGATTGTCAATGCAGATACTCAGAATCTATAGTTAAAAATCATTTATATCTTCTTGAACTTGAGTCTTCAGACTTTGTAGTGTTCAGTAACTGAACTGTTGTGTTTATAGGTTTATACATTTTTTCACTAATGAGCTCTTATCTCAACACTTTTAAAATAGAAAATACATAGCAAAACAATTACTAAAAGTGACAGCTATAGTAGCTTAGAAGTTTGAACTGTTTTAAGGACCGAAACCAAATATAGAACCTTTTAGTTTTAAGGGGATTTTTTTCATAATGCAACAAGGAACTGAAAACAAAATTACAATGAAGGTTTATTTGCAATTTCAGTTATTTGCTCAATTTGTTTTCCCATCTCTAAATGGTAACACTCAAGAACTTGAATTTTAAAGGACCTGTTTCTTTAGGGAAAGTGGAGATCATTGTGAAACTTATGCCTTAAAGGAAAGGGGTATGGGTGTCACTGGCTTCTGAACTGTGGAGCAAAAGCCAATAACCTGCTGCTCTAAGGGAAGTAGGGACCTGACTGAACACACTTATTCCTCTCTTCCATCGGTTTCCATTCCCCAACTATTTGGGGATCCACCAAATCAGGACTTCTTCAGACAGCTCAAGTCAGAGTGAGATCTCAAAGGTCTTCATACAGAACTTCCCCCAAATAAGAGAACCAGCTAAGTTTGTGTGCTCCCTTCTATTGAAGAAAGGGTATCAAGAGGTCTTGGCTCTGTAGATTTACTCACTTGACACCTGGTGAAGTTGTAGTTTCTAATATTGACACCTGTCATTGAAACATTTGGTATATAGTTTTCAGACAACCCAGAAACCGGTTATAGACTAAGTACTTGATTTTTGTTAAAAGAAACTGGGTAAAAAATTAAAGTTATACAAACTAGGGAAGTCTGGTTAAGATAATATGAATCCAGACTTTCCAGGTAAAGATTCTTCCATTCTTTTGGGAATGGCATTCAATGCAATGAAGCCTAAATTTAAAGACAAAGACAAATGACTTTAAATGGTGGAAAAGTGAGGAAACAGCACAGTTAGTAGTAATTAGGAGAAAGTCATGGAAGATAGGACATTTATCATACTGTTACCTCGTCTGCTTTTCTTACTGTCTAGGAGTGCTTGTTAAAAGCTTTCAATATAGTATAATTAAGTATATGAACAGGGTTTCTTGACCCTCCAGGAATCCTGAAACCAGGAATGCCAGATATATAAAAGCTGGATTAAAGGGGAAGTTGAAGGTTGCACTGACAATAACGTATTTATCAAATTACACGACGTCACGTGGGATGTCTCCCGACCGTCGAAGCCAGGACCACCCGGTCGGCGCCATTTTCTTGTCCCGCCGCATCCCCGCGTTCTCCCGGCGCCCACCCCGCCCGTGCCGGGGTCGGGACACCCGCGGGCCCGACTTCGGACGAAAAGCCCTGCGCCCGGCGTCCCCCCGAGGGCGCCGGCCCTGCGGCGGGCGGAGCGCCCCTGGGCCGGCCGTCCTGGGGCGCGGGCTCGCGGCCGTGACGTCACGCCCGGGACCGGCCGATGCGGGGAGGCCTCGCGGCGGGTGCCGGCCGTGTGCGCGGGAGCCGCGGGCACCCAGAGAGGACCGGCTGCGATGCGAGCCCCGCTGGGCCGGGCGGTCGACCCTCGGCGGACAAGCCGCGCCGCGGTCGCCGCGAGCCAGAGGCAGGTGCTGGCAGGAAGGGCCTGGTGCCCGGACGGCTGGCGGCGCGGCTCGCTTGCCCGTGTCTTTCCTCGCAGTGTTCGAGCAGCACCAGGAGGCCCGGACCCAATTCGTGCAGACGGTGGCGGAGCTGGCGACCAGACCCCAAAACATCGAGCCGCTGCGGAGCGCAAGGGAGCCTCAGCCCGGACCCGCGCTGCTCGGCGCCCTGGCCTCGCCTCGCCGCACCTCTCCCTGCCGCCCTGGTGCCCCGGCCTCGCTCCTCAGCCCGGGAACCCGACCCCTCGGTCGCCAAGCATCCCTTGGCCTCTTCTTGCCCGCCTTCCTGTCGCCTTGCGCCCCTACGGGCTGTGCTTCTGGGAAGGCGCGGCGCGGGGACGGGGACGGCATCCCTAACCCCCCCACACAACCCACCGCGAAGGCTTCAGAGACACTCAGTCTTTTTAGCGGGTCTTTGGGGGTGAGGTCGAGAGGGCGAAGTCTCCAGATTGGTGTGAGAGGGGCCCGACGTCCCCATTTCTGTCTATCGCAACCAGGGAAGTGTCAGATTGGAAGCCAAGGCCACGCGAATTGCCTGCAAGTCATTTTACCTTAATGGGAATTTACTCTAATCACACCATTTTATCCGGGAACCGCTGCTTGTCACACTGCCTTTGATCACCTTCGACTTCCTCACACCAAAGCAATTCCAGAGTGGCTGACAAATTATTTTCTTGCATTAGTGAAAGAGCAAAGATTTGATTGACTCTTTTCGAAGAGATTCAAAGTAGGCAAAGACCTAGCTTCGAGAAATTCTTACACTACCCTCTTTCGTCCTCTCCTTCCGAACGTATTCAGATTCTATAGAAAGAGATAGTGTGTGTGTATGTATGTAACTTGCTTTTCTGTTAATGTAAATACAGAAAAGGTGATGGTGGTTTCTTCCCTTCTGTCTCCGATTAAGGATGATCCACCACCGTCTGAACACAAAGTAGCATTTTATCGCTACTGTGTCATGAGAAATCTTCAGTTTATAGGGTCTGATCTTTAAAACATTTAAATTAACACGGAATTAAAAGAAAAGTACGAAATAACTGGTAGAGCAAGAATGTTTACATATGTTTACTCTGATTTCTTTGAGGGGAATTCCTACTGCACCTAGATGGTAATTTCTTTTGTCACTGAGGAATTTGGGTGTTTATTCCTTGTATGTTTTTATGGGGAGGAGGATTGTATTTAGAATAGAGAAAGTATTTTATAATCATTTAAAAAACTTTATATTTTGAGATAATTGTAGATTCACATGCAGCTGTAAGAAGTAGTACAGAGATCCCATATGCCTCAACACTGTAGTATGGTATCACAACCAGTGCGTCCACGTTGATAAACCATCAGCCTTATTCAGGTTTCCCCAGTTTATAATCTGTGCCCATTCGCACGTGTGTCTGTGTGTGTCCAGTTCTCTACAGGTTTATCCCATCACCACTACAGCACTTTCATCGCCGCGAGGAGCCCTTTCATAGCCACACCACCGCCCTCTTGTCCCTGACCCTGGGCAACCACTGACCTCTTCATTTAGAAAACTTCAAAGCTGGTAATCTTTATTCTGCTGTTGTTTCATGTGAATTGATTTTCTTTCTTTTGGGTGTGTGTGTGTGCTTGTGTGCATTCATGTATACCCTTCAAAGTACTTGGAGAGTGCTGGACACACAGTGTTTCATTTATACTAATTTAAGTTTATTAGAGTGTATCACATTTTTTTAATGCATTTATTTTTTAGGCTTTTTTAATGGTCCTACACATTGGTCTATGTGAATGGACACTTGTTTATAAATATTTAATTTCTGGAAAATATATAGCTAAAGGAAAACATTTTTAAAAAGGGAAAATAATTGACATTATTTAAAAATTTTGATACTGAAATACAGAAGTATAGATAACATTTGAGATACAGAATATCACATTTTAATATAATGGAGTCAAGTCATCTCTTCCCATAAGTGTACAATATAGAAAATATTATGGAATTTAGTCAATCCAAACCTTTAGCCTAAATGATCACCAAAGTATAAGTGACTTAGATATGATATTCTTAAATGGCCACCCATTTCTACTTATGGTCTGGCTTATGTAGGGAATGAAATACAAAAGGAATATAACTCCAGAAGTTATCTTCACTTGATGAATATTAGTGGAATGGTAAGATTTTTTGTTTCCTGAAAAACTTATTTTAACCTATTTCACATTATCTAGATTCAGTTTAAGCATTCCTTTAATAATTTTAGAGACATAATAATTATTCTAATACATACATTCTTTTAATTAAAAAATAACCTGTAAACTTTCTTATGAAAATTTTTCCTAATAGCTGGTTAACTTAAACTTTCAGATGGTTTATTTCTTTTAAAAAATCACCACGGATTTAAAAATGCTTTTGAAAAACCACAGTATGTGTGTTTCAATTATATATTATGACTGAGCTTTCTTTTTTCAGTCATGTGACTTCATTTTGGCATCTTAAGATACCAATGATTTTATTCCTGACTTTGACATATTGTCCACATACTTGGGAGAGTTTTGTTTTGTTTTCTCTGCTAATAAACCATTTTAAAAAATATGTATTATTGGTCCAAAATAATGGGAAAAATATTTTCCATGTAAGCATCATGATGAATCAGTACTTCACTTGTTAAAAATTTTTAAATTCAGTGTGAAAGGAACCTTAAAGGTGAAAATTATCAATGAAGTTTTATTTCCTTTTAAATCTCTGATACTTTTCATTATATTTTTGATGTGCTACTGAGAAAATTTGCTTTATTAAATATGTCCAAAGTAATTAATAGAGCAAACAGTGCTGGAAGATATCTTTTTCAGAACATTTGGGCAAAAATAAGTTTGATTTCTAGACATAATTGTTACTGGAAAGAACAGTATACAATGTGTCTATAACCTACAGTTATTACTTTCTTTTGATTTAGGATTTTATTCCTTCTAAATCAAAAGAACAAAGAAAAAAACATTAAAAAGTTGAGTGTTACAGAATCTCCTTGCATTCTCAAACCCTGTTTATCTGAACCGTTACATATTGTGTAATGCACATTACATCTTGTGCGGCTATTTAAAAATGGATTTTGATACTTTCCTTCTTTGATAATGAGTAATACATGAGTGTAAATAGTAAAGGTAATACATTGTTACTTCTACCAATTGTAGAATCTCAGCAATTTGAGGTGGTTGTTTAGTTATAAATATAAGAAACATGTTTTATGACATATTGGAAATTCCAGGCCACTTGTAGGTTGTTTAGGTCTTTTAAAATAAGCTAATAAAAACCCCAAGAAAATTATTTTTTAACTGGTTAACTACATAAAATAAACTTCCTCTTAAGCAGCTATTTATTGGAAAGCAGGGGTAAACTTTAAAATAATTCTTTGTAATATCTTACATATAACCTATAGAAAAACAGTAAACATGGCTAATCAATAGTTAATGCACATTTTCAGGAGAGTAGAGAATAGAGGTTTGTATAACATTTTAAATATGCATGTGTATGAGACTAATTTGTAAGTTGAGGCAATTTAATGTGTCCAGAATTCAAGAAAATATGTAATATATGTTTACATAAAATTATTTTAAATTACAAGTCTGGGGCAGGGTGAAAATCTTCAGATTTCTGATCTAATACCTTGATTTGCTATTAGAAGGAATACATTTATAGTATTTAAACCATTATGATAAGTATACATACCATGATTTTCTTACAAAAACTACTGTTCCAAAGGATATTAAAACTGAAAAGATAATTAGAACAACTTTAAAAAAACCAACATGCTTTTAAATTTGATGTATTTCATCAATATAAAAGGAGTCTTATGGTTGTGAATGTATGATAATTAAAGCACTGACTTTTTAAAAAAGAAGATAGAGATAGAGGTTTTGTTTTTGCTTTTTACATATGCTGAAGAGGAAAATATTCCAGGAAACTACAAAAATTCTGAACTTGTATGCACCTAATAATTTATCCTAAAAACAAGGTTCAGAATTTTATTCTGTGTCCCAAACCATTGGACTTACATGGACATTTATCTGTTTGTTATTTAAGCATTGGTACATAAGTAGAAAATAATAAAGCCAGGATTAGGGTCTCACTGCTTTCTTAGGAAAAACTGGACAATTAAAAAAATTCAAGCTATAGATAAGCCTATAAAAGTGGGGCTTAGAAATGGCAAATTGTGTAGGTTAAATTTTAATGTTATAGATTAAATGTTTTGAAAAGTTATTTATTTCCTGACTTCATTTTACATTTGAATGTTTTTTCACAGCCTTTGCTCCTCTGACTAAAAACTTTTCTTACATTTGGCCAAATTAATTTCTACTTATTCTTTATGACTCTGCTTAGATGTTGTTGATTCCTCAGGCAAATCTTCCTTGAACCCTCACAGTAACTTAAGTCTCTGGAGTTATGCTTTCCTTTCTAATATTTCCCTTTCACAGTACTTATCACAATGTACTGATTTAGTTTTCTCCTCTAACTCTAAATTCCATACCTAGAATAATGGTTAGAATAGAGCTGATGTTCAACATATTTAAATAGAATGAAGGAAGGATTAATTATTTTTCCAAGTATTTTGACGTCTCTTAAAAATCAGATTCTTAGAACAGCTCAGGTAGGTAGAGTAGGTTTCTTCTTCAGTAATGACACGCCCAAAGAAGGTTGGATAACTGCCCTCATCACAAGTGAGTTAGTGGCCACATGGGACTATAACCCACTTCTTAATTGCTGCCTGACCTTGTTCTCTTTCTGCATTACCTTATAGTTACTAGTAAACTGTTTCTAGGTAGTTCTAGGAATTCCTAATAAACCTCAATGTTAACTGTTAAAACAAGTCTGTTTAGGTCTTTGGGTTACCAGTGACTGTCCAGTAATTAAATTGTGTGTATTTGGCTTTTGAGGTCTATTTGAGGGCCATTATGGGAACTTGAGTGGAGGCCAGATGCAAAGGACTAATTGATAATAAGCCTGCAGGTTTGAGGGAGTTAGGAGTTGTATTTAGGGCTTACACTGGCTTCAGAGCTCTAGAGGATCTTTCAGCTTCCTCTGGCTTCTAAGAAAAGTCTTACCAAACCAGAAGTTCTTTAAAAGCATGCAGGGAAAAGCATAATCCACTGGAAGTTGAGAACCAAGATA